AAATTCCTAATCGAAGCAGAAAGCCAAAAAATCTTGATTTTTCCCGGATAGTGTTTGTGAGAAAAATTGTTGGATGTCGAGGGGAGACCAAACCATAACCCTGACAATGTCTTTGAACCCATATTTTCATGATCATTTCAAGGTCAAGTGGGGATTTTTAATAAAATTGTATGCTACATATGTATTTTCTTGTTGTGATTCTTTAGATATTAGCATACCTTACCTTCAAAATCGAAAATTAAACTTTCCATCTGATGGAGTTCCCCTTGCAGTTAGATTAAATTTATGGTATCAACAAGATGGTGCTCCTGCTCATTATGCTCGTATTATATGGATGTTTTTGAATCAAAGATTCCCAAATCGGTGGATAAGGCGGGGTGGACCAGTTCTGTGGCCTCCGAGATCCTGATTTGAACCCCCTTGATTTATTTTTATGGGGATACGTTAAAGATGCAGTGTATAGTGAAGCTCTAACAACAAGACTGAATATGATGGAAAGAATAAGAGCTTGTGAAGCGATAACTCCTTTAATGCTTGGAAATGTACAACGTATTAACTTTCGCCGTCGATTACTGTTATGCTTAGAAAATAATGGTGCACACTTTGAGCATCTCCTCCATGCGGAGAGAGCTGATAACAATGTAATCTTGCCTTCACTGGCTGGGTCACCACACGACCTTGCCTTCACTGGCTGGGTCACATACCTTCCCTAGGGGCTGTAGGACCTTGTAGATGATGGGAAGGCTTAAGCGCTGAACCAAGGTAGCTGTGGGGCAGGGTTTTGCACTATGTGACTGGTGGGTCATCTCTCCAACGAGGTAAGTAGCCAGTTCTGTGTTAGGCCCCTTGGTTGTCTAGGTAAGTGCGAATTAACAAACAGCCCAACTCACGCTAGGTCGATTTAGAAGAAATTACTTTTATTCTCAGCATAAAATTTTATTAAAAATCCCCACTTGACCTTGAAATATATGGGTTCAAAGACATTGTCAGGGTCATGGTTTGGTCTCCCCTCGACATCCAACAATTTTTCTCACAAACACTATCCGGGAAAAATCAAGATTTTTTGGCTTTCTGCTTCGATCAGGAATTTATCTTTGAAATGACCTCTATGGTCAACTTTGACCCATAATATGAAAGTTCAACTGGACGTAAAATTTTGCGCTCTTTCAAAATCCGGGATCAAAAATATGGGTTTCTATTTGAAAATTGAAA